TCGAGTAGAAGCAGGGTGCTAGGTGCAAGGACAGTGACTCAGTTAAATAATGTTCGAGTGAGCTTCACGAATAGGAAAGATAACGGCGACTCTTTAGCAAAAGAGCCAGCCGCGCGCGAGCTCTGCCGTGGGCCGCGTTCGCGCGCCGCTGCGTGGACCGTGCTGGGTGCTGCGTGTGCGCGCGGGCGGGACTCTGGGGTGGGCCGAGCCGTTCGCTCGCGGGCCGCGCTATGGAATCGGTTTCTGATTTTACAGTAATGTAATAAATGTTTATTTAATTTCGTTATGAGCTGATCTTTGTAAAACTATAGAAAAATCTGTAGGTGTCCAAAAATAGTAAAACAAAATTTGTTAGATTCACAGAAATACTACCTATCTGTTAGTGTAGTTAGCTTACAGTTAGCTATGATCATGATAGGTTCATAAATTCAAATTAGAAAGCTAGTATTATGTAGATTAATAATTGTAGAAATTATTGTGGTAAATGGATGATAGATTTGGTCATGAAGTTTTTACAATAGCTTCATTTGATTATTATGTACTTACTGTAAATTTTATAGCACTAGAGTATGTTGATAAATAGAATAGCCAGTAGCCTTGTTTTATTATATATAGAGTAAATCGGTGTTAGGAGTAAGAATACCTTTAGTTGCCAAGATAATATATGTCATGCTTCATACTTGTTAGTGGTAACAGTAGGTAACTTAGCACCTTAGTCGGTAGTACTCGCTTAGTAGCTTGATAGATGTATTTTTTATTTTAAGAGTTGCTGTTGCGGTATTAATAAGTGTTGCATCATCATTTCATGCATGTAGATCATGAGTTGGTAGAGTTCATGCCAGTGGACGAACAGGATTACGAGGAAGTCATTGAGGAGTACGAGGAGGAGATCCTCATGCAGGAGGGAGCCCCGGAGCCTTTTGGTGCTGACTGTGCTGACCCGCCGCCTGCCCAAGGCAAGCCCCGGTGCATAACCCATATTTTTACTGATCACTGAATATATATGATGTGCATTTACGTTACAGACATTTTATGGAAACTACATGCATAAATATATCTACCTATGAGTCCTACTAGTAAAGGTCGAGTAGCTGCTATGCTCAGGATTTTGGTAGCGTGAGTAACCTACCGTTACTCACAAATAGGTGATAATTATGACCACTCATGATAAAATGATGGAAAGGAGAAATGGTGACCGGGCAGGGATATGGTTTGGGTATTGGTGGATGTAAGAGGTCGTGTCCTGCGGCCAATAGGGCATAGCTTGGTTACACTTTTTCCCTGTCTGTGTCGGTTAAGGACCGGCTGTTGCATTGGACGCTAGGCAAGTCACAGACTTATTATCCCGAGCACATACTTGGGTATGGGCGCAGGGAAGACTTGTCGCTCTCTTATCGTGGGATCCAGCTCTTTCTAGACCGACTGATTGGAGGCGGGGATGGTGGAGGTCCTTGCACCGCACTGAGTCCGGGACTCAGGAGTGGGGGCTTGGAGTCCAAGTTTGGACGGGCACCTGGACACCCAGGACAGGAGGGTGATGGGTTGGTCCTGCTTGTGCCTGGGGTACAAGCAGGGCGTGTGTTTTCGGGATACCTAGCTGGGGGCATTGATTTACGAATCGTCGGGTGATCCGGTACGGCTTGTCTAAACTCTAGCACCGTAGTAAGAACTGAAAGATGACAGGTGATGAAATGGAACTGATTGCTCAACTCTTGCTTGAAAGTATAACATATGCTTACATAGAATGGCTAGTAAATGAATCAAGATGGCTAATAATAATTTAACTAAGGATTCACTATTAGTATCGCTTTCTGCAAAAAGAACCCAGTCAACCATAAAACTTATCATATCCCTTGGAGTCGGGAAATTATTCCCACTAGTCGGATAAGTCTTGCGAGTACATTGTGTACTCAGGGTTTATTTACCCCTGTTGCAGGTAATGCATGAGTACCATTGTTTGAAGGATTCTTCTGGTGGGCACAGACGGATCCTTGTTCTTTATCGCTAGATGTTTATTTTTTATTCCGTTGTTTAATATCCCGCACTTTGACATTTGGTAATGTAATAATGTAATTTTTAAGAACCTCTGATGTATGAAATTGATAAGAATTGTAACTCGTTTTCATTATTGGATCCTCGGGGAAAAATGTGGATCTTTCGAGCTCTCCCGTAGGGTGTGCCCGACGGATTCCGCCCGTTGTAGCTCGCTTACGGGGTGCTTAGTGTCTGGTGGAAGACGAGTGCCTCCGTAAGTGTGTTATTTCGAGCGGTTCTGCCACACTAGGTCTGTCCAAGATGAAACACTTGCAACATACGTATAATAATACTTGAAACACTTGCATATATATGCAACATCCCGATCTAGTTTTGCAACATCCAAATGAAACACTTGTAACATATATCTGAAACCGATGAAACATTTGGAACATACACTTGAAATATACGTGTATTGCCCATTGTAACATGTGTAACATCCCGTCTACTTTTGCAACATCCTTATGAAACACTTACAACATATATTTAAAACATCTGAAACATTTGAAATGTACACTTGCAACATGCATCGTATCTTGGTGCAGCCTCCTTCGCCGTTTGCATCGGGGTGTCGAAGCCGTAACAGGAGGCGAGGCCGGAGGGCTTCCGTGCCAAGGCCTGACGCTTCTCCTTGCGCAGCGGCCTTAGTGGCTAGCTGGCGACCAAGGGAGCGGTCGCCACATGTGGGCGTAGCAGTGCCCGCGCCATCAGGCGAAGTGGGCCGTAGAGCAGAAGTGGCGGCAAGAAGCAACGGGGCGGCGTGGGGTGACCGCTGACGGCAGAGCGAGCCGCAGAGCAGGAGCAGCGGAGCGGCCGACGGAGTAGGAACAAGCGGGGTCACCATTGATGCGTGGAGCAGAGCAGAGTAGGTCTCTCATCTCCTTCTCCTTTCCATATCCAATTAGTGCAACGGAAGAGACGGACGCGGATATATGCCGTAATAAAATACGAGTGGGCGCACAACAGAGGTTTATTGGGTTGGTATGGAGACCCACGAAGGGGCGTCTGGATGGACGGACGCCCTATACATAGTGGGCCTTTTGGGGCCCTTTGTCAAATGTTACATATAGTGGGCCTTTTGGGCACGTTAGATGTATGAGCTTTTTACATGTGGCCCTTAAAAAAATGGCTCTTCCTTGTGTGGCCCCTTTTTTTGAATTTACCTCTATGGCCTTGAAATGAACTTTCATTCCTTCTATGGCCTTCTGTCAAGTTTGTTAGTGACCTCTGTTAATTTGTCCACTAGTGGATACGCGAAAAGACAAAATTGCCCTTCTGTGTTTCTGAAGGGGCCGCACCGAGTCGAGCGACTTAGACCTATGCCGCGTGATTTCGCACTTCTCACATCGTTATTTCGCACTTCTGATGGATTCTAAGTACCAACTAATTTGTCACCGTAGTCAAAACTTGGAAACATCTTCTAAAAAGAGGAAAAGTGATGATTGTACACCTGAAGTCTCTAAAAGGTAATTTATATATTGCTGAAATCTCTCTATCATCACATCTTGCTTTGAAAACTTTGATATTTGACTACCATGACAGCCATAGCCTGGAGGTTTCAAGTAAGAAAAAGGAAACTGCACTAACTCCAACTCTGGACATTCAAAATTGTACGTTTTCTAATTCTGAATTTTAGTTACATGAATCCAATTTTTTCCCTCTTATCTAAATCATTGTCAATGTATAACATTTGTAGGTCAAGAAGCACTTTTTATTGCTTCACGCGAAGATTGACTTGCTCAAGTTAAAATGAAGCGAACACCCATCGAGAAGAAGCTATGCCTTCCAAAGAAAAAAACCATAGACATTCTGAAGGTGCCACTTGACAGCCCATCGATGGGTACAAGAAGCAAGGCAGTAATTCCTAGCAGCCCTGCCATGAGCACGCAAAGCAAAAGAAGGCTCACTCTTTGATTTGTGATATGCCTATTAAATTTGCTAGTTGTATGTGAGATCAATGTATGTTTGAATTCGCACTCTTGTGTGACCTTATTTATGTGAGACCTTATTTATGTGTGACTAAAACTGTGGTGGATTTATGTGAGACCTTGTTTATGCGAGATTTGATTAATTGCAATGCATCTGTGAAAATTTTTAGAGCACATCATATACTGTTATGTGTCCCATTTGCTTAATATTACTCCAAATATGTATTGTTATGTGTCATATTTGCTTAATATTACTCCAAATATGTACTGTTACGTGTATTACATACTCCAAATATGCTCTACTATTATGTGTGAATTTTTATTTGCTTAATATTACTCCAAATATACAACAAACAAACAAAACTCTGTAATTTATTTTTTTACGCTAGGGGCAAAACGGTCTTTTTACCTTTGACTTAACACCGTCAAATGACAAAAATGGATGGAAGACCATAGAAGGAACGAAAGTTCGTTTTAGGGCCATAGAGGTAAGTTAAAAAAAAGGCCATGAGCTATTATTTTTTTCAGGGCTATAAAGCTGCAGATGTATCGTGAGCCTTAGGGGGTAGACACTGTGCTCGAAGCACACGGGCGAACACAGTGCCAACTGGTCTCGTGCGAGTCAAATGCATGTTGGGCTTTTTTTCGGCCTCGTGCCAGTCATTCTTGGGCCTTTTGGGCTTTTATTTATGTTCTAAATCAGATCGTCGATTTTGGAACTGCCATTTCAAGTTTGGAACTGCCGCTATTCAGTCCGACGCCACGTTCTCCTTCTCTCGTTGCACGTCCGCTCCGCGCGAGTTGACGAAACCGCCAACCCATCACCAATGGCCGCCAGTTCCAGTCGAATCTACTACTACGTCCCCTCTCTCTCTCTCTCTCTCTCTCTCTCTCTCCCTGTGTCATTCGATTCATTCCTTACATATATATCTATAACACCAAGCCCGTTCCTTCTCTCCCAAAGCACCTCTCTCCGATTCATCTTCTAATTGTTCCATTAGGAGAAGGATAACCACCGCGCGCGTTCCTCAGTTGGGTATGGCTGCAGCGCCGCCGATGACGTCATCTCGCCGTCTCTTTGCGCTCGCCGCCGTCTTCGTCCTCGCCGCCTGCTGCCTCCCCGCAGCGGCGGCGGCGCCGCAGGGGAAGCAGTACAGGGTGGGCGGGGAGGACGGGTGGCGCGTGCCGCCGCCGGAGGGCGAGGACAAGTACTACGACAACTGGGCCTCCAACATCACCTTCTACGTCGACGACTCGCTCGGTACGTACGCACGCGCATTCGCTTCGCGCAAATGGCTGCTTATCCGAATCACCCATCGATCGCATGCGTTTGCATTGCATGCAACTTACCAGTGCTCTCTGCTCATGCACGCATGCTCTCGTTTCGGCGGCAGAGTTCGTGTACAAGAACGACTCGGTGCTGAGGGTGTCGAAGGCGGGGTACTACCACTGCAACGAGACGGCGGGCGACGCGGCGCCGCGCGACGGCCGGACCGTCTTCCTCCTCGACGCCCCCGGGTACGCCTACTTCGCCAGCGCCGACCTCCAGCACTGCGGCATGGGGGAGCGCCTCGCGGTCAGCGTCCTCACCGCCACCGCCGGCCTGCCGGCGCCCGCGCCGTCCCCGTCGTCGCCGTGGTCGTCCTCGGCGCCCGGGCCATGGTCCTGGGTGCTGTCGCCGTCGTCGTCGGCGCCATCCCCGTCCGGTGAGCACTCCGCCGCCGCTGCGATGCTGGTCGCGTCTTCCTCTGCTCAGGCCGTCGTCCTGGTGGTGGCCGTCGCCTTGGCGCTCGCGATGGCAGCCGGTTTCGTTTGATCTGAGCAACCTCAACTGCGACCGCGAGGCTGTTTGTGTTGTTATTAGGTGTTAAACATTGTGCATGATCTATCAGTAGTTTGAATCTTAGAGTGCCATAGTCTAGTATCAATTGTTCATGTTCATTAGGTTGCTGATGATGATGATTGGACTCCTATGATGAATCAGTGTTGTCGTGATGTATTGTAGGTTTCGTTTCCAATGTCAGTGTTAATTACAAGTTTGTATCTGGCCTCGGATTATGTGCATGCATCTCATGTTTGTCAATGTGCAGGGGGCAGGGGCAGTTTGCTCAGTGTTTCAGAGGTTATGTTTAGTTCTATACTTCTATTCCCCCCTTTCTCTCTCTCTCTCTCTCTCTCTCTCTCTCTCTCTCTCTCCATCATCTCGCATGGTCTAGATGGATTGGGAAATGAAAAGGTGGTTTTGTGGGAACCATATATAGTTAAGTAGAAGAAGTCTCAATCAAAGATAATGAAGAGCAAACTCTGTTTATGAACGGCACGGGAGGAGGAGGCTTACAGCAACCGAAATTGGATCGGACGGCGCCCGGGCCGTGGTCCTGGGTGCTGGCGCCGTCGTCGTCGGCGCCATCCCCGTCCGGTGAGCACTCCGCAGCCGCGCTGCTGGTCGCGGCTTCCTCTGCTCACGCCGTCTTCCTGGTGGTGGCCGTTGCGCTGGCGCTGGTGATGGCAGCCGGTTTCGTTTGATCTGAGCAACCGCAACCGCAGAGGCTGTTTGTGTTGTTTATTAGGTGTTAAACATTGTGCATGATCAGTAGTTTGAATCTTAGAGTGCCATGTGTGTGTTGTCTGCTAGTATCAATTGTTCATGTTCACTAGGTTTCTGATGATGATGTTGGACTCCTTTGATGGATCTGTGTTGTCGTGATGTATCGTAGGTTTTCGTTTCCAATGTCAGTGTTAATTAGAAGTTTATATCTGGATTGGGATTATGTGCATGCATGATGCATCGCATGTTTGTCAATGTGCAGGGGCAGTTGCTCAGTGTTTCAGGGGTTATGTTTAGTTCTACCCATTTTGTTTTTTCTCTCTCGATCAATCATCTCGCATGGTCTAGGTGAATTGGGAAATGAAAAGGTGGTTTTGTTGAACTAATTAAGTAGAAGTTTCAATCAAAGATAATGAAGCGCAAACTCTGTTTATCAACGGGACGGGAGCAGAGCAGGCTCACAGCAACCGAAACGGATCTGACGTAAACACATTTGGACCAAACAAACTTTCTGTTAGTCTGTTATATACACAAAGCCCGGCCCAAAGAACACATGGAACTGTAGACTTGGGGCCGAGTGTAAACAGACCAAATTGAGAGATCGCTCCCCATTTGAAGCAGTTCGCCTCCCTCAAATAAATAAATAAAAATGAAGCAGCTCGCGAGAAAACCTAGCCCAGTTCTTTCTCATCTAAAAAAAACTGAAACAAACTTTAGGTCCTCCCATCGCTAAAACGAAACTATATTGTGCGTCCCCTTCAGACTTCAGTTTGAGCATAGTTGAGTCCTTTGCTGTTGTTGTTGGGGCGAGGGTTTCTCTGTATTGTATTTGTAACATACAAGTCCTCAAACCAAATGGAGTGCGTGCTCTTTTAAATCGAGTTGTGGTTAAATCAAATTAGCTCAATTTATATATTAGATTAGACGTGTAAAATAGGAGTATTTGTTTATTTCCACCTCACTCATGCATAGTATAGAAACTAACGTATATACGGCCTGTTTGCTTGTCATATATAGTGCAGTTAATATAGACTTGTACAATGCTCAAAATAGACCCATTACAACATAGCTCTAGCATGCTAGATTTTGTCGTATTAGGCTGAAGGAGAACGAGTATGCTACGCTAGTATATTCATCAGTGTAGAGGAAGTAGTCCATCATCCTCTCACGTCTGCCGGCTCGCATTCGCTGCCACTCAATACTGCAGTGACAACAACAATGTCTCCATAGTAGCTGCTCGTGGCTAGGGTTTTGTGGGAGGGCAAGAGGAGGTGGCGGCTAGGACTTTAGGTGGCGTTCGGCTGGTCTGAAAATTCCAGACCAGCCGGCTGGTCCGACTGCTTCTCCTCACATTGCTACAGTGCATCTTCCAGCCGCTACAGTGTTTTGGCTTCTTTTTTCAGACAAATGAACGGGGCGTTAGGGTGGTCGAAGTCCTTCACACATCCCCCACCTCCTCATATATATATATATACTCCGCTAATAGGTTTCTAATATGCATATTCACTAATCGCATGCATAAGTAATCACTCACGTATCCCGCATCCAGTATAAGTGCATCAAATAGGACCCAAATAGTAGCAAGTGCTCTAAATAGTTGCAAAAGATTTTGGGTGCCTGAGCCACTCTCTGGTGAGTGCTCGTGCACTGTTCATATTTCGAATTTGAATAGTAGCGAGTATTTTGAATAGTGTCATGAATTTGAATAGTGAACGCTGAATTTGAATAGTGCTATGAATAGTAACTCGAGAATTTTAAATTTGAATTTTGAGTTCGAGTTTGTTCCAACAGTTTAGCGGAATCCCTACGCAGTTATATATATATAGACTCCGCTAATAGGTTTCTATCCTATAGAGTCATTATGTTTGTTGTGGATCAATGTCTTATTTTGGTCCATGCATGAATCTAATCCAAAGTGTACGATTGCCTCTTAGGCACATCACCAACATAGGCAATGCATATTAGCACAAAGTGGACGTGGGCACACAGAATAAAATGTTTTCACCTCCCATTACTACTGCATGGATGATTTTTTTCATTGGCCTCCCTTTTCTTAAGGGCACTTTATATAGTAAACTCTATAAATATTTTTCCACATTATAGCCTTTGTACCTCCCCTAGAAATTGATTTCTAAGAACAGTTGGCTTAATAAAACCATCTCCTAAAAATCTACCTATTTGTAGGAGCGGTTGACATAAAACAACCTTCTCTAGAAATCATATTTTCAGAGATGGTTTTGTCGACGAAATATGGTCGGCAGTCTATCGAGGGGTATGCCTATGGTAGTAGATGAATCGGTAGAGGTGCGCGTAATAGAAACCGGATGGTGACACAAGCGCAGAGACATCGATTTAGACAGGTTCGGGCCGTCTGATCGACGTAATACCCTACGTCCTGTGTCTTTGGTGTATTGTATTGTATATGAGATGAATTCCAAACGCAAACTGGTCGGCAAGACCGAACAACTCGGATATGACTCAAGTCGATGAGTTTCTGCAGATTCTGGATCAGATGTGTAACAATCTTGACAGAGTTGGTGTAGCCATCAACTTCATCATACGCCGGATCCAGCCGAGCAAGGAGAGGTTCCGCCACTCATATGAGTACACAGGGGATGAAGATACCGCTCGGGAAGCCCCCGAGAAGATAAATAAGGACGACGCCTATGGTCGCCTCTTGGAGCTCTTTTCAAGTAACACCAAACTGAGCAACATAGGACAACAAAGAGCATACAACATCACGAATCCACCACCACTAGTAAGAATATACCGTGTGTAGTCCTTATAATGTCAAATCTTGTTGATGTTGAAACGTCTTCATGAAAACTTGTGGATAGGATCGTGCTGTGTATGTCTCCGACATGCCGGATGGTACCTGGCCGAAGGGCGTAGATGCCCCTCCGACCAATGCTCCGGCCGGTCCGCCATCGGAGTGCAGCTCATCGTCCTCATTCGAGGATGTGGTGGAGAAAGCTCCCAAGCGTCGGCAGCCACCGCGCGGGAAAGAACTGGCTCGACCAGAGCCAGTGAAAAAGAAGAAGAAACCAAACACTCCGCCACCACGCAAGAGTGGCGGGATCTCGAGGGCACGGGCACCGCCGTGGGCAGCTCTTGTCCGGCCGGAGGTGCGGTCACACTGGCGCCGCTCCCGCCCAAAACGGGCGCGGCACCAGCCGACGGCTGCTGCCTCGCTTGAAGGGCGATGCTCTTCTCTGGCGCCAGCACCAACGGATTACGCTGCCTCCCGACGCTACAAAAAACGAAAAACATAAGTCACGATGAAATTCACCCAAAACAGAGGAAGCAAGGGAATCGATGACTTACCTCAGTGCCGTCGGGTGGCATATACGTTTGGGGGGCAAACCCCCCGAGCTCTGCTCCGCCTCGTCGGGGCGCGACAGCTTCGAGTTATGAGTTGTTCTGATTTGTTTAGTTGCGAAAATTTATCTATAGCTTCTCTATTTATCTATACATCTAAATAGATACTACACATGTCTATATGCAAAGTATATGTATCTAAAAGTGCCATTTGAGTAATTCGGGTATTAGAAATTGCTATCCGATGTCTGTCCCTAAAAAGCATTACCTAATATACCCGAAATTGATAGAATCAACAATTTTAAAAGAATTTCAATAGCATTTGAAGCAATAAACAACAATCCTTCAAATCACTCCATGTCTTCATATCAATTAACAATAAATCAGTTATCAAGCTAGCATAGATCTACATTGAGCCATGCCAAATAATAGATTTACATTGCACTGAAGCACTCCCTTCATATATTAGGAATAGAAGAGCAAAGATTACTTGAGCTATTTCGAGTAATTCGGTTACCAAGGAAGATTACGTAACCAAACTAAATTCAGGTTTTTACAATTACTATATATTCAAAATTATAATAGGGTATTTTGGGTCTAAGGTTTGGATAATTTGGGTTCGGAGATGATTGGGTATGAGATAATTTGCCCACCTCTACACGTAATTGATTACATATACATCATGCCAAAATTAAACAGAGAAGTGTTGCATTCATTCGTATGATCGAGCAGCTGTACGTGTTGTGTTGAAGGAGACTGGACAACGGAGAAGAGGATCCGTGCCGTGGGTTCGCCTGACATGCCGTACGCGGTCCCCCAATCCCAATTGGTTGCGCCACAGGGGATTATGATTCGTGGAGCACGCTACTGCTAGTACGTGTATACTCTATACTAGGGTACAGCAGCTGGTGGACTGGATGTCTGGATGCATATTATACGTATGCGTACTG